CCTTTAAGCCCCTGAGTTCCAGCCTCAGTAATTTGTGGGGAAAACACCAAGGTACATCATCCAAATCTTGTGTTTGCCTGCACATACGGAGGAGTGCTGTCCCATATATTTGATAGGGGATTTTCTTCAGATTTTAAACACAAAACTATTGACTTCGTTGTTCACAATTGTTTTGCTCTATGATCCTGGGCAGAGGTTGAGCTGAATAATGGTGTTTCTGTCTCACTTCCACTTTATTTTCACCTAAGCCACAAGCCAGCCCCTTCTCCCCTTTTTAGGCAAGCCCTGGCTCCATATCAGAGTCTCAGGGGGGCTGGAGCCCTGTGAGCTCTGACCAGCTGAGAACTGCTTTGTGTCCCTGATGGGTTAGGAGCCCTACACATCCAGAGTATGATATAGTTTCACTGGGTTTTAGCTGTTTCTCAGCTAAAGCTTCTTGCCTTGCTTGGCATCAGTTGTGCTGTTTGGCCTCTTTGACTTTATCTCAGTTCTTGGCAGCCTCTCACCCCAGCCCTTTTTCTGTCACACACTCTGTTCTTTGCTGCCTTTAAGGGGGCCCTGCCACTTACCTGGCTTACCCAGTTTGAAACATGCTTCTCTGGTTCCTGTGCTTCCTCCTCAGACTTTGTCACTGATGCTGTCACAGTGCCTGACTCATAAAATGGACCTTGATTCATGGTTCCTCTGCCTGGACTTAGCTACAGAACACAAATAATGTCTTGTCTGTGTCTTCAAAAACTTTCCTACATCCAGGAACTGGAGCACATTGTGTCCAGAACCCAAGAGAGGTGGCCTCATTGGTAACACTTGTTCCTGTACCTAGGGTGAGGTGATGCCTCAGGTGAAAGTGACTTGTCCTGACTGCAGCCAGGAGAAAGGCTTTTCACTATTTCCTACCAAAAACTGGTGTGGACTTTACAGCAGTTTGCTGATGGAACTTCAGAATCTGGCTAAGGGATTTTTATCTCAAAGAATGACACATAGAAAGGCTTTGGGTAACAAGTGGCATAGGGGACTGAGTAAAGCTGCTGCTCATAATGCAATTAGCAGAAAGGCATCTGCAACTTACTGGGATTCTGTTCTTTTTTAGAGCTGATGATGAAGGGGAGTTAAAACTTCCTTTCTTTGTAGTGGTATGGGACAAACTGTGATTCTGTGCTCCTTCACAGAAGGAGCAGGCAGAAACTTACCGAATCAAAGAAAATTCAGACACGAGTTGGGTGTTCTGGAAAGACCTGGTGAGAAACAGGGGCACACAAGGGAGACTTACATAAATGGAAAAAGGAAGAAATTGTTCACAGAGCAGGGAAAGGCCTAAGGAGCTACTGATGTGCAATCTCCTCCAAATTATGGGAAAGTAACCCATTTTTTGGTCTTTATTTTTGTTTCTTATGTAATAGCTCATCTTCAAAAGGATTTAGAGCAGATTTCCCTGGAGTGACTAAGCCAGATTCAAAAATCTGGGGAAAAAAAATTGACTGGGAAAACTGCTTTTTCCCTCTGCACCCATCTCAACAGACAGAAGTGTGGTCAGGGCTTATTCAATACAGGCCATCAAAGATACCACCTCACCTTGGGTGATCCAGTATACAAATTCTGGTTTCTTTCTCCAATTCTCAAAAGAAAAGTCTTTAAATAAATAAATGATTGTGGGTGGTGGCGTGTTGGTGGTGGCTTTTTTTTGTTGTTGTTTGTTATTTTGGTTTTTTGTTGTTTGTTTTTGATTGTTTTGTTTATTTGGGTTTTTTTAATAATACAAATGAGGAAATGGAACGGCAGAGGGGCTTCCTATTCTTCGGGAGAAAGAAAAGGAAGAAGCATGAAAAGAAAGGAAGCAGCATGAGCACGAATCTCCTGCCTGGGAAAATGAATCAACCATCTGGCAGCTTGAGTTTATTCTGATCTTCTCTTGTGGTGAACCTCTGGCCATTAATTCAGACACAGAATTGGTATCTGCCCTCTCCCTGCTCCGTTTTCTGTGTCACTGATCATGAAGCTCTCTTTGGATCAAGCATAATAACAGTGCCTGTAAAGTCTTTGTTAAATCCTCTCTAAATTGGGCTCAATATCAGAAATGGTGGCATTTGAAGCACCTAAAGAGTAGCTTTTCTGAAAAAGATGACATAGTCCTGTGAAATACTTTCTCCTCGTTTTTCACAGAACTTCTTTTCTATCAGATATAAATCCTTTCTAGACAGGTCAGAATTTAAAATATCTCTTTTTCTTTATAATGCTTAGATAGCACTTGTTTTTCTTTTACATTTTTCATTGTATTGGAAAGGATGCTAGTATGCTAAAACTGTATAGAAACTTCAGAATGGTCTTGTTTTTTCCCCAAAGTCTGAACTGATGGTAGAAGCCCATCTGGAACTGGTAGCTTAGAAAGAAGTGATGGGCTTGCAGAGGAACTGCTTTTCATCATCTTCCATGTTGTACCAAATGGAAGGCTCAGTCCCAGAAGCATGATCTCTTCATGAGGAAAGTGCAGGAGTTGGGCTCTTCAGAGAGCCAGTTTGGCCCCCTTAAAGGTGAGGAATCCCCACAGGGCTCAGTTGACTTAAGAAATTTCTGTCTTCTGGTCGCTGGAGCAGAGCAGAAACTTTCCTGGCCTCACCACAGCTCTCAGCACCTTCAGCTGTGCTGACTTCAGTGCTCCTGCAGCTGTACTGGAACAGCTCAGAGAAATGATCTGGGCTGGGAATCAAACCTTAGAGAACAAATGTCCCTCTCCCCTTCTCCGATGAGGCAACAGCTTTGCTAAGACAGGGCTGAGCAAACAGCTGAATGGAACAACTGCGAGGGAGGAAATTGAACTGGAGAGTGCGAAATCCTCTTAGGCAGGCGCTGTGACCAGGGGTTTGCAGTGTGCTGCTGCACCTGGGGTCTGGTCTCTAGAGTGCTTCCATGTTTTGTCATAAGCAGAAAAAAAGCAAATTCTGCCGTGTGAGTTAGGACACCCAGTTATGGATCTGTGCTTCTAAAGCCTGAGTCAGCTTTGGGAATGGGCTGAACTCTGCCATGGTATTGTCAGCGCTTGCACACTCATTCCTTCAAAACCACACCTGAAAAACTGTGTCATGTTTGCTTCACGTTAGGTAAGTACATTTACCTAAAACCTCTCAGCTGTGAGCTCAAGTGTGAACTGCAGTGCTTTTGGAATAGAACAAAATCCATGTGCTGTACATGTATTTCATGCACAGTTGGCTGGAGATGCCTTGTGTTCCTGCCAGCTCCTGCAGTAAACTGCTATAATCTTGCAAAGTTTTGGATTGGAGTTTAATATGAGTTATCCCTGTTGTATCTCAAGCAGAAGACACATTACTGGAATTCTGTGTGCAGGCAAAATGTTGTAGTTTATTTTTATGGAAAGGTTGTCTATATGGCAGCTGCCAGAAGTTGACTTTGCATGGGAAAGGCACAAATGGATCCAGCTCCTTTCCATGTATTCTAAAATGTCGTTTTATAACAATACAGATAATTTTTAAGGCTTACATTAAGTGTGGTGGGGTATTTTTAATACACAATTCTACGCTTTCCAGACACTCTCAGATTAACATTAAAGATCATCAGCAGCACCTGTAGCTGTAATTGAACCCGTGAACATGGTTGTACGACTGGGCATTCAGGATGCAATTTCAAAGTGTTCCCTACAAGGCAGTCTTCTGCTACATTTTTTTTTTTTGTTTCCCCTGAACTTGACAGAATATAATTTATTTTTGTAAGCCCGTCTCATGTACCGACAGATTGTATCTAGAATTCCTAGGTGTCATCAACTTATATTACACCGGCCGGCTTTTATTTTTTTTTCTTTTCTTTTTTAAAATTTTATTTTAAACACTGCTAATCTGATCAAGGTTTCCATTGTAAGCGTTATTTTCTCTGCGGGATGCCTCATCTTAGTTTTGAAAAGACTGGAGCTGGTGGATACTCTTCTGTTAAATACCCTGCCTTTGTTAGGCAGGTGAGCAGAGGAACTCGCTTTAGCGACTGCTTAGTTATGCTAACGCTGTCCCCAAAATTATAAGTAGATAAACTCAAGAGAGTGATTAGAGCCTAATTACCAGGACAAAACTATTATTGTGCTGACTGATCTAAATATAATCGTACGTGGAACTATTCAGCATGAGCAATGTGCTTAGCATTACACAATAAAGTGAAAAAAACCCAGGCGTCACAAATGGCATATCTGGTTACTTCAAGAATTCTGTACTGCTTGTATGGATCGCTTCAGGTTGATATAGTCCTCATGCAGGGAGAAAAAAGGAAGCCCACAAACGCTCATTTAACCCGGAGCACGCTGGGCAGAAGCAGAGAGCGATTCTGGAGACCGCTCCCGAGCTGCCATCGGTGCCAGCCCTGGCCGCTGAGCGCGCCTGCAGTTCCCGAGATAAGGCACCCGGCACCCGTGAGGGCACCCGTGCGTTTATCTGCCGAGCCACGGCTCCCTGCGGCATCGCCTCGGCGGGGCACTTCGGGGAGGCCCAGCTTTGCCTCGGCCGGACGGTCACGTCCGACTACTGCAGGGTTGCACCAGCAGAGCCCCGGGCCTGCGTGCGGCCGGGCGCGTCCCGCGGGCTGGCCCCGTGTCCGAGCGGCCGCTCCTTTTTAGGCCGCGCCGGGCCTCGCCGCCGATCCCATCCGGCCCGCCCCGCGCATGCGCCGCACCTTGTTTACCCCGCTCGGCGCGGCGCTGCCGCGGGCGGCCGGCAGGTGTCGCCCCACGCCCAGGAGAGCGGGCCCCGCTGGGCGGCCGCCAGGTGGCGCCTGCGCCCTCCATTCGCCCGCGAGCCGCCGAGCAGCGAACACCCCAAACAATCCCCAGCGCCGCCGCCAAATTAAATAACCCCGACCCGCCCGCGCCCCGCGCCCCCTCCGCGCCCACAGCCCGGCACCGACCGGGACGGGCGCGCAGCCGGCGAGCCGCGCCGGGGATACGGGAGCGGAGCTGCGCGCCGGGGCCTCCTCGCTGCCTACGCCGACACTGGGCAAGGTAAGTTAGAAAATGGCGGCGAAGCTTCTGGAAGTTTGGCGGGGGGACACGGGATCGCGGTGCGCCGCGGCGATGAGAGGCCGGGCCGGGGCCCGCGGCCCCCGGGCCCGCACGGGGCGCCAGGCCGGCTGGCCGCGGGGACTGCGCGCAGCCAAGATGGAGGACGGCGGGGCCGAGCCGCGAAAACACTCCAGCCCCCCGCTTCCCCACCCCCCGTTCCCGGCGCGCCGCGGCGGGGAGGGGGGAGGCGAGCGGAGCGCGAGTGAGAGAGCGAGAGGGCGCCGAAAGCGGCCCCCCTGCCCGCCCCGGCCCCCTTCCTCCTCCCCAGAGCCGGCCGCGGGCAGGCCGGGCCCGGCGCTCGGCGAGCTAAAATGGAGAACCGCCTTCTCCTCCTCCTCCTCCTCCCCCCTTCTGCCGAGCCGAGCAGGGGCTGCCGGCAAGATGGAGGACTCGGGCATTGTGTGCGTGGGGTGTGTGTGCGGGCGAGCCGGGCCGGGCCGAGCCGCTCGGGTGGGCAAGCGAGGGTAATGGGGTCGGGGCCGGAGCCGCGCTCGGGGGGAGCGCTGGGCCGCGCAGAGAAAATGGTGGGGCGGCTGCCTGTGCCCCGGGGTCGAATGTCGGGGGAGGCCGCGGGCAGGGGACTCGCACCCCTGACAGCGCTCTCTTCCCCCTGCTCCCCGCTGCCCAGTAGCCGAGTTCTTCCTTCCAGCCCGCTCCCGGCGGGTTCCCTGCGCAGGGAAGTGCCGAGGGATCAGGGTTTGTCTCCTCAGACTCTCTTCCCAGAGCTGGGGAACTCTGGCCGCCCTTCCCCGTGATTGCACAGGAGGGCTGGCGGAAGCGGGGCTCCCTCGGCCCAAGTGAGGACGTAGGTAGAGACTGACCTGCACCTTCCCCCCCGCCTCCATTCGCTGCCCCCCCGCCCCGGCGCCCAGCACGGCGAAGGCCTTTGTGGGTCGAGTTTTCCCCTCCGAGTGACTTTGGCCGAGCTCCTCGGCTGCTGTCCGCTAAGAGGAAGAGTTGTGGCAGTTTCCGTTCGGCTTCCTTTATTTTTTTTTTTTTTTTTTGTAAAGAAAGGGCGCTTGCCAACTTGTGCCGGGGACGCCCGATGCCGGGAGCCGCGTGTTGCTGGAACCCCGCTGGGCTCTCGCCGGCCCCGGTGGGGGAGGGCGGCAGGAGGAGGAGGAGGAGGAAGGAGAATGCTTCTTACTGGGGGGTTTTGGCGCCACTTTTGTTTTAGATAGTGCTCCTCTGCCCCCTCCTCCTCGGCACGCACTGAACTGAGCTGAACCCTGCCCAGGTAGGAAACGAGAGCTTTCCTGGTGTTTCTGTTTTCTGGGCGCTTATTTTCGCTACGCGGATTAAAAAAAAATAATATATATATACATACATATGTAGATATACCTGTGTATATATAGTTGCTGCGGTTAGGGACGGAGGGACAGAGGAGAGGGGCCGCAGATGGCTGGGCTTGGGAGGCCCTGTTTTCCGGGAATTGCTCTCCCTGCCCGAGCGCATCCCTTGGTGCTGGGCGTGCTGGCCTTGGGGGCCCGCACCGCTGTGCTCCCGGCCGCGCTGCCTCCATGCCTTCCTCTCTTCTGGTAACGTTGTATAATCCGTCTACTCCGTGCAAATCCGGGACCCACCGACCTCAATTTTTTCCCCTCTTTCCTCGCCCCCGCGAGCGGGTGTGGAAGCGATCGGGCCCCTCTGTCGCTGCTTTTATTTATTTATTATACTGCCCGGGCCCGGCTCTCCTTTCTTGTGTTCCCACGGGATGCGGCGTTAGGAGGTGACACAAAGTTTCGATCACCGCCGAGTCCCGTGTTCTAGTTACTGAGGGGCAGTGGGAAGTTGGCTGTTTAGCTTGGTGTTGGATTTTTTTGTTGTTGTTTTTTGTTTGTTTGGGGCTTTTTTCCGTCTGTTTTATTTTTTTATTACTTTTTGGCAGCCCGTGTAGCGCTGCTGCCCCCCCCGCCTGCCCTGCCCGCGCTCGAAAGCTCTCCCTTCCCGTGCGCTCCCCGAGCCACACCCTGGCGTGTCCGGTCTCCCGAGGCGCCTGAGCCGCCGCTGTGACCCCGCGTTTTCGCTGCGCGCCCCGGGGCCGCCGCCCGGCGGGCTGCGGGGGGGCCGTGCCGGCGCCGCCGCGCCTCGGGCCGCGCCCGCCGCCCATTGGCCACCGCCGCGCGGGAGGCGGCCGCTTCCTCCGGGCCCGGCCGGGCCCCTCCGCTCGGGCTCCGCTCCGCATCCCGCTTGCACGGCTCGGCGGGCTGCTGGAAGGGAACCGGAGGAAAACGCCTTTTGGATCGCTTCTCTGGAAGCCGTTGCACGACGCTTTCGTGCTCTCTGGGAATTTTGTTGAATCCTGTTTTAAATGACCAAGAATGAGAGTTCCTGGCGTTTCTTACAGCGAGGTGTTGTTCTGCAAGCAGAAGTCTCCCTGTTAACCCTTGGCAGTTCCGTCTCGATTTGTGATTGATTACTTCTTTCTCGTTTGTAGTGCTTGGCCATTCGAAACAACTTTTCCGTTTTTTTCATAGTCTCTTTTCTTTAAATCAGTAGTCTATTTATTGTTATTCCTGGAGTATTTATCTGGTGTTGAACTCTCCCAAGACTTATCCGTGTGCAGGCTGGCTGATTGTATGGAGAGAAATAAATACCACGAGTGATTGTGCAATTGACCATCATTAATCTCTGTCATCTTGGTGTCACTTGTTCATTATCCTCAACTCATAATTTTGTGGATCTGTCTTCGTGGTGACCAGTCACTAACTCAGTACCACAGATCTGGTATAGGGCTCTTTATTGGGTAACATAGTTTGTTTTCTTTTATGGCATGATAACAGTTTCATTGCTGAATGAAACAGGGTGTGAGAAATGCCTTGTTTTTAGCATCAACATGAATATTTTCTGCTGCTGAAAGCCCTAGAGGTGAACGGGCTGGAATCCCTACACTGTTCTGACTAAAAAAAACAATCTTTGAAGTTATACAAAGGAGAAAAATATTAATTGAATCCCATCTCTGACAAATAGGTCTTGCTGTGTAACTCATATGGCTCATGTTGGTCCTTCTTGACAAAACCAGAGACATTTCATTGTGTTGTCTACAGGTGGGCTGTAGACACAAACCTGTGTCACGAAACCCCAAATTTCTGTTGCTGTTGTTTGTATTTAGTTAGTTGTGGTAAACTTAAAGTTGCCTGTTGTATAAGCTTAAATTCAACCAACCAAAAAACCCACAGGCATGGATCTGGGAGATAGGAGAGACTTCAATTTTTCTGTGATACTTCCTAGCCTTCAGATAACTTCCGAGTTATGTACTTGGGCCAGAGTTATGCTTTTGAGCTTTTTCATACATTTGGAATTTCAACAAGATAATGCTGAATAAAGGCAATAACCAATGTAAGGATTTGTTAAACTTGTATTTAAGAAGTTAAAGTAAAGTTTATGTACAGCTCTCATCTTTCAGATACAAAGTCTTGATGTTTTGCAACTGAAAACAAATTAATTTGAGTTGGTTTAAATAAAGGATCCTGTGATATTTGAATATATGTTAAAAAAATGGGTTCTGTGAAATGACAAAAAATTGCTATTTTGTAGCTTATTAAAATACTTAGTTAAAAATGCATTATGTGACTTGAATAGCATTCATTTTATAAACTGGAGTATTCAGTTAGCTGGCTGGTAATGTTTTTCAAATTCCATAAATATATCACATTTGAACTTTACGTGTTCAAGTCTTTCAACATTTGGAATGAAATAATTTCCACTTGGAAGGAGTGTAAATAGAATTGTCAGTTAAATACTCTAGGTTTATTTCGTCTCAGTATAACTTACCAATAGCAACTGAATTATAAAAAATAAAGTAATGTAGACAGCTTCTCTTGAATATTACATGCTACTGCAGTCTCCTGTAGAAAATAGCTGCAGGCAACAAACCACTTGAAAGTTCCTGCTCTTGGTGGTGGGAGCAACTGTGTTAGACTTAGTTAAGTCATGAAGTTATGTTGGCACATCAAAGCTTTATGAACTTTTTAAAATTAGATTGCTCTTTGTCACTTATGGCTCAAATTTAGAATGATTCCAGAATCCTCGTTTGTCATTTTCATTTGTGGTCTTACTGTCTCAGTGTTTTGCTGCAGGCAAATATTTTAGGAGAGATGAGCTTTTCTGAGACTTGTGTGCCAGTAAAAACAGGTTGTATGTTTTACAGAAACCTGAAATACTTCAGTTGCTTATTTCACCAAATGAATCCCAGAAAATAAGCAAATATTTCTGCTTGTTACTTGTGCTTGTTGATTGTGGTACTGGAATTCTCTGTTTTGTCAGATGAGACAAGGTTTTCAGCTTAGTGTGATCTCTGCCTACAGTGGCCATTCCTTCTCTAATTCGGAAGTTTAGGAGAATATTGTAGGTGTGAATTTCCAGAATGGTACTGTTGGGTTTTGGTGGTGGATGTTGGTTTGTTTGTTTGTTTCCTCCTTTTCCCTCTTTTTTTGATGTGTGTAATTAAGAAAACATACTGGAAAGAGGAATATGTTGTCGATTTGGTCTCTGTCAGTGAGATGTGAGAATTTCCAAGAGCATCATCTGGTTCAGTACTTGTTTTGTCATGGAAAGAAGTGATTGATAGCAGCCATCAACATACCAGTTTAATACTATTAAATAAAAGCTTTGCTCTCTTTCTCAGTATCACTTAAAACATTCATATTCTGAAAACTTCATCTTATATGAGGATCACTGACTAAGAAGAAGAGAGTGATAATCTAGTCCTTGGGAAACAGGTGAGCGGGAAATTGGAGTTTTAGGTTGGAAAAAAGCTTGCACACAGCAAATATATGGAGGGATGGAAAGAGCTCTTTTTCATGTGCATCACAAAAACTTAAATGGTGACATAGCCTGTACCTGTGGTTTGGATTCAGTGCCGTCCAGCGTTTTAGGTGAACTCACCTTTAAACTCAAAGGCGAGGTAAAAATGGGAATTCCTCAATAGTTCCTGGGGGATTGGCACGGGCAGTCGTGCGGTGCGGGCCGCTCTGGGTCTCCTTTTGCCTCCTGCCCGTCCCGTGCTGCGGGCTCGGCACAGAGGCGGAGCGGAGTGGGGCTGCGGGCGGGTGAGACGCCTGGCTCGGAGCGGGAGCCCCTCCCGGCGGGACGGGGCGCGGGGCGGGCCGAGCTCCCGCTTGGGGCGCGCCGGGCTGCAGCGACCGCCCCCGGTCCCCAGGGGGCGCCCCGGCGGCGGGGCCGCGGCTGCGCGGGCGGGGGGCGGCAGCGGCGCCTCGGCAGGGTCACACTGCGGAACTGCAGCTCCTGCGCGGAGTCTAGTCGGCCTGAAAGACTGCTTTGAAGAGTAAACCAGTTAAGCTGTTCCATTCAGTGAGCAGGTTTCGTGTTTGAAGATTAGTACAGTGACTTCAGTTGGCTTTTTATATTAGGAAAAAAATCTGCTTTCAAAAAGTTCGTTGTGTCTTTGTAGTTTAAGGGTAAGCCTTAAACTGATGTGACTTTTGACAAGGTCATGTATTTACTCAAGAGTGCTATAGCAAAAACACATTTTGAGAGTACAGGGTTAAAATTGTAGTTTTAATCCTATGTTGTTTTAACTAGAATTTATTTTCCTTAAATATTCTCATCTTGAAGTTTATAAAAATATGGTAAAGTTGGAAATTAATTTTTTGTGAGGATAAATACAAAGGGAAATCTCTGAAGGTGACCTTCATTTAGATCATCACAGAAAATTGTAGGAGTGGTGTTGGTTTGAAGTTGGGAAGCTTGGATTAAGAAAAATGTTTCAGTGTTCAGGGGGTATCAGCACATGAACTGTGTTTTTTTTCTTGATCCTGTCAGTTTGATGGGTAAGATTACTGAGACTAGACCGGAATCCTAGATTTGATGGGTTATGCCATTCCATTCTTTCACAGAATACTCAATCAGTTTTTAGTATCTCTGTATTTCCAAGTTTTCCAGTTTAGTTGTAATAGATCTGTGGGATCTTAGGTAGAAAAGAGGATAAGGGAAACCTTTCACAAACGTTTTCTGAGATCTGGCACCCAATTTTGGAGATAGGAATGTGGGAAAATTTGATCCCCCAGGGTACCCCTGTGGCTTTCATGTGGCACCTGGCTTTTCCTAGCCTTTAATGGCTGCAGATTTGCATGGAGGAGCCCAGGACTGGTCTCTGTTTAATCTTGTTTATGCCAGTTTGAGTCAGAAATGAAGGACATGTAGGACTATATTTGTGTGCAGCTACTTCTTGTGTTATTGTGGCTTCAGAGGAAAAATAAATTAGTTGTCTCATAGCTGCTTTGTATATACTTCATTGTTGTCTATTCTGCACATTTTCTGATTGTGTAGCTAGCTATGATTTCTGCCTTTGGAAGGCTTATTTTTGTAAAAAAATATGATCAGAAGAGGGAGTAGATGTAAGAAGATTGGCATATATAGCAGGGTAGTTTGTGATCTGTGATTGAGAAGCTGATCACAATACCTACCCAAAAAAGTATCTGAGAACATGTGTTGGTTGGTTTTGGGTTTTTTTGTGAAATTTTTTTTTGGTAGATAGGTGAGTGGTTTTTTTTCTTATGGCTCCAAATTTAATGCCTTATTAGTCCTGCTCTTACAACCTTTTATGCATTTTACTTTTCTATGCTTTATTTCAGTAAACATTAGTTATTATATTAGAGCAAGGGAATATATGTGACACTGGAAATAATTTTGTTTTCTGCAGCAGTTTTTTGTTACTGCTTCTGTATAGCTCTAGAGAGGAAAGTATTTTTACGTCTGTTCCCATTGTTCAAGGGTTGATAGAACAAGCTGATGACTTCTGCTTGTGTTTTGAAAAAGGTCTCAGATGGTGCCTGTTGCCATATAATGGATCTCTCTGCAGTGGTTTAGATTGGTAAGAATTATAGCTGAAATTTCAGGCTTTCCTATTAATAAAATAATGAATCTGAATGTACTGCCATTTTGAAAAAGACAAAACATTTCTGAAACTACTGACTATTTTAAAAAGTAACAACTTAGGTATGCATATTTTATTTAGTTGTGGTTGCATTCCAAATTTGGCTTTGGAGTTGCTGCAAAGGTTTGGTGAGATGCTGCTTAGCTTGTGGGCTGTGGGTGAGTGAGCTGTGGGTGATG